AGAAGGAGGAGGAGAAGGAGGAGGAGAAGGAGAAGGAGAAGGAGAAGGAGAAGGAGGAGAAGGAGAAGGAGAAGGAGAGGGAGAAAGAGAGAAACCGGGAAAGGAGAAACAGAATGGGAGGGAAAAAAGACAATGAGAGAATGAGAGAAAGAGGGAAATGAGAAACGAAATGAGGAGGAGGAGACAGACAATAAGCAGGGCGGCGGAAGCGGGGGTGACGGGGGCTACTAGCCCCCCCACTAGATTTTTTGGGGGGGCCTGGCCCYCCCAGAATATAATGCCTCACACACAAAAAAAAAAAAACCGCATGAGATTTGGTTATGATTACCATTATTTATTATTGTGATATTACATAATTTTCTGTATCTAAAAAATATACGATATATCTAACGACGACTTGCATCATTTTTGTGTCTCTCAGAACAATTGCAAGTGGTTTAATGCGCGCAAAATGTTACTGATTGAAATATCACACATACACGTTTGTAATCAAGCTAAACAGGGAGGGGGGAAGGGGGGGGTCATTTCAAGGTACCGTGAAATATTGGAGTGCCCCCCCCCCAAAATTTTTCAGCTTCCGCCGCCCCTGATAAGTGAGGTAAAGAAAGAACATAAATGATCATTTTTGCCAAATTTCTACCATTTGATAAACATATAGTTCTTCAATATAACAGGATTTACTGAGCTACAAAATATTCTTAGTCTTCCTTAGTTTTAGTTGAATATTCCATTGGTGGAACAAAGAGTCGTTCTCTTCTTGGTCAATGATGTTATTGGTCTACACCGACAATGCCATAGATTCACGTATTTCTGTAATCCATTGATTACCTCAACGTATACAGTCAATTCAAAAAGTGTTGTCGTCGACCAACTCAAGCCTACGCGACTGGACCGAAAGGAACTCTGGGTAGCAATCATTGAAGCCGAGTTGACTACATAATTTTATCTGACTAGTTATGCGTGGTTTACAGCATGAACCTTCGTAGGCGAGCGGGAGGTGTTGAAGGAGACGTCTTTTTAATGCCTTCATATTTTCGAAATTGTGAACTGAATCATAACTACTTTGTTCTTCTTTCGCTAAACCCAAAGACATGCATTTATTGGATTGTTTCTCGCCTATTATCTTATTACTAGCTAGTCTCCCCCAAAGCCGTTTTCAGTGTCGTCACGCGACGCTTTCTCCCCTGAGTAGTGACGACACTGAAAGCGGCTGTGGGGGAGACTAATTACTAGCGAGAACAGTTAATTGAGAACGAATATTTAACCGCTTCGGTGATTTTTACCCATATTCCTTTCGGTCCAGTCGCGTAGGCTTGAGCTGGTCGACGACAACGTTTTTTGAATTGACTGTAACCTGCAACGCGTAACCCTGACTCTGTCATTATATCGGCTATGAAAGATGAAAACTCAGCATTCACTGTTTGGTATTCGAAATCTCTTATATTCGAAATCTCTCAAATCTACTGTATAGTAATTATTGCATAAAGCAATTATGTATGTATAAAGTTGGAAAATGTAACATGTTTTTGGAGGATATTTCCCCCCAAGATTCGTATTATTTGAAAGACCCAATTCTGTAATAATTCATGTTATTATCATTAGAATCGCCATGTATACACCTACTTGCAAGAAAGTTGTCATACAAGAATAGAATAGTGAATTACTAATGTTCTATTCTTGAATGACAACCTTCTTGCAAGTAGGTGTATCTCTTTTAATATTTAAGAGTCCACCTGTCGAATCATTTCTTCGACCAAACTTAAAAGTATCTTGTTTATTATCGACAGAAGCTTAGAATCTAATGACAAAGACTTACCGATGCACAGGAGAACAGGAGAGGACGTTGGAAGTTTCTCTTGCTTGAAAATACTCGTTAAAAGGGAATGCTTCTGCTAGTGTTCGTATTTTGAAGAACGGTTATCGGTTGCCTTCGAAGGAGTGAGGAAAACTAACGTGCAGCACGAGAGAATGCAGTTGAGTTCCGTGAAGCGTGGTTACTCTCTCCTTAAAGTACGAATAAGAAACAATTGGCTAGTCTAATGAACAAATTGCGGTTATTCCCTTGAGAATGTAACTTATGTATTAATTATCTCTTAGTATAGTCTCTACTGTTTTAAGAGTATTTCATCAAAAACCAAAGGCGATCATGAGTAGCTAGTATAAATGAATGAAGAAAAAATCCTTATAAAATGTTGAATTTTTCATCAATAAGTTATTAGATTGAAATGCGAGTTAAAAATTAAACAAATAAATTCATTTAAGAAATGAAATAATTTACGTATATGTTATCGGATATTAATTAATCCGCACATCACTAATGTATCGTAGTAGTCCATCGGCTCATCGTCTACGTGACCTGCGGTATCACTAGTAGCCCATGCGTTTATGATATGCATGTCCTGTGGTATTACTAGTAGTCCATGCGCATATGGAATAGAGGACCTGCGGTATCACTAGTAGCCCATGCGCATATGGAATAGAGGACCTGCGGTATTACTAGTAACCCATGCGCATATGGAATAGAGGACCT